TGTTTCAGACTCAATGTGCAGCTGAGGCAGGCCTTGAATTCCTGGTCCTCCAGCCTCCGTTTATTTCCCAGTGCTGGGATTACAGGCCCGTGCCAACACACGGGGTTTGAACAGTTATTTATTAGGAGAAGCCCTTACACGCCAGTGGCTGTGGTGATTTTAGCCTACCTCACCTGTGGCTGCCCTTCTGGGTGAGGAGGTGGAGCCCAGAGCTCGCCCCACCTGATTCCCAGGTGAGGTTTAGCTTCTGGGGAAGCAGAGTTGCAGAGCGCTGGGCTTTGAGGCGTGCGGGGACAGCGCCACCTAATGGCTATATGCTTCCATTGCTGCTGTTTGCCTTCCTGGGCTCTCAAGACTGCAACTCTGGCTCCCCCTAGGGGCTTCTAGGCATGATTGTAGGATACTGTTAGGTACAGGAAAATTCACCGCCTGGCAGCATGAAGGCTCTCTCTAAAATTCCTCCCCAGAGGGAGACATAAATAACATCTAACCCTTCTCCTAAGATGGCAAGAACAAACCAAGGCTCAGTTCTACCAAAGTTCAGTCCGGGAGACCAGTGAATTTACCGGGCGTTCTTACAGAGGAGTTCCTTACAAGAGTGTGGGTGCTCCTCCCACAAAGGGCTGCACCTGGAAAGCCTTCACCCTGCAGGAATGATGACGCACCCATAGCTGCATAAATGGAGCGCCAGTGCCCAGCCTGTATACCCTAGCCACTTCCAGAGGCCTTTGCAATTAAGGCAGTGCTGCGTATAGCAGGTGGTCGGGAGTGGCTGGATTCTCAGGTGAGATTCTCCTGCCCCTTCCCCACCCCTCCATTAGGGGACATAAACAGTCAACAAGCCCAACTCGGATAATTGTTCTGCAAGGAGGCACAGCAGAACTTCCCCAGACCACGGTTGATTGGCTGGGAGGACAGTCACTTACAAGGGTACTCTTCTTTTTCTTAAGAGGCAGGGCCTCAATATTACCCAGGCTGGTCCTAAAGTTCTAGGCTTCAACACTCCTCCCACCTCAGGCTTCCAAGTGCAGGCATGTGCCATGTGGAGAGACTCGTTATTTTTATGTAGGTGTATGTGCCTACGCACCACATATGTGGAGGCGCCTGTGGAGACAGAGAATGTTAGATCCCTGAAACTGGAGTTACAGACAGCTAGCTATAAGCCAGTACGTGGGTACAGGGATTGCTCCTAAATACTAATATTGGGGAGAAAAAACATTTGCATATTATACATGTGCAATAAAAGGCTTACATAGAATATAGAGTTCTCAAAATTTAGTAATATGAAAACAAAAGGTCCAGTTTAATTATTATTAATTATTACTGTGTGTGTATGCGCACATGTGCGCATGATGTATATGTATGGACGTTTGTGCCATGAAACAAGTATAGAGGTTTGAGTGCAAATTGAAAGAACTGGCTCTCTCCTGCTATGTGGATTCCAGTGACTGAACTCAGGACATCAAGCTTGAAATCAAGTGCCCTTAACTACAGAGCATTCTTGCCTCGCCACTTACATGTTTTTGCAAAGACATGCAAATGTTCACAGCTTTGCAACAACAAAATAAAGTTGTTGCTGAACATAGCAGCACACACCTTTAATCTCAGGAGCATCTCTGTGAATTTGAGGCCAACCTAATCTCCACAGTGAGTTCCAAACCAGCCGGGGCTTTATAAGACTGTCTCAAAAAAAAAAAAAAAAAAGTAAACAACAAAGTCCATTGATTGGTAAATGCATAAATTAACTATGGCATGTCGGTACCATGGAGTACAATTCAGTCACAGAAATGAATGACTTTCAAAATAATATTAAAGGAAAGTATCCAGATCCCAAAAAGAGTGCATGTGAGCCTAGTCTTGTAAAAGCTTTAGAAAAGACAGACTGATACAGAAATCTTTTCTTTAGAAAAGACGGACAGAAAGCAGATAGGGGTTGCCTAAGTGGGGAGCAGGCAGTGCAAAGGAGTGAAGACCGACGCTAAAAAGAAATCCCACACCATCTCAGAATTGTGTATAATAAAGGGTTATTTATTTAGGGGTAGACTCACAGATCACAGTCCTCTGCTCAAATGGGGAGCAACCTAATCCAGCAGCCCCAAGAGAGAGCTAGCATGCACACGCACGTTACATCAGCATTTTATAGTATAAGAGGCCACGCCCAAATGGGCTGGTATATTAAAGACTACTGGCTGAAGGATTTCCTACAGCAGGGGAGGGCTAGGAAGAAGGGATTAGGAGAAAACTATAAGCAGAGACCCACGTTGGGCACTGATGATCAATGAAGTCAAATGATTACCATTTATTATCGGCAAAATCCGAGCACAATTATCACAAGACAGAACGGAGAATGAGCTGAGTCACCAGACGCTCCACTGCTGCTGTTCCTCATTCCAAAGGGCGCACAGGGCCCATGCATCCCTCAGCTCTGCCTGTCCATTCCCAATGCTAACCCCGCCTCTTAGACCAAAATGCTCCATACAATTGGTTAGCGGACCAGTGACAGAATTCCTGTAACAGAACGTTCTTTAGAGCAATGAATGTGTTTATTATCTTAAATTGCACGGATGCTTCCATTGTTTCTGTCTGCCCCTTTAAACACTGGAGTCCCGTCTCAGTTACTTTTCTCATTGCTATGACAGCATACCTGAGAGAAGAAATTTAAGAAAAGGTTTATTTTGACCCACAGAAGGAAAGGCAAAAGGTGGCAGGGATACAGGACAAAACTACAGAGGTGTTTTATTTTGAATACAATCCTCCTGCCTCAATCTTCTGAGTGCTGGATTTCAGGCATGCATCCCCCATGCCTGGCAAATTTGTATCCTCTTGTGTATACTTTAAAAGGAAGATTCCAGACAGTTTTTGGAATTTTCACATGAAGTCAGTGCCCTGGGCTTGAGAAGTTTAGAGTAGGAGGCTGAGTTTGCGAGCCAGGAGAACCCTGTAACAGGTAGGGGCTGAGGGATGCTGGGAAGAACCTGGCAGCCAGCAGCCGCTTTGATAGGTCAAGTAGGCACCTCAGCCACTGTCCCAGGTTTGAAACCTAATTGTCAGCATTCCCAAATGTATTCTCCTTCTAACAATAAACTGTCAGACAGTGGTGGTGCCTCCCAGCACTCGGGATGCAGAGGCGGGCGAATCTCTGAGTTCGAAGCTAACCTAGTCTAAAGAGTGAGTTCCAGGATGACCAGAGTTACACAGAGAAATCGTGTATCCAAAACAAAACCAAAATCTTCAAAACTGTAGCCCACGTGGGTGGGTTAGGGTCTAGTCTTGGGAGATAAGGTGACATTGGGATCTTTGGCATAGAGTCACAGAAGGGGGCCCTGGCAGAGGAGTCCCCTGAAACTGGCTGGCAAAGTTCTCTCCGTGTGCTTTTCCTTGAGAGGGACGAGACAGGTTTGGAGGTCTGAGGGCACATGGGGAACTCAGGCTTGGGAGGGCAACAACCTCCAGCCCTGGTGGTGGAAAGAGTCGCCAGGCTCGGGGCTGTGGAGTAGCAGGCTTTTATAAGCAGGCTCCAGAGTAGTCCCAACGCCCCCCGCCCCGTGCGTGTCCTGGCCATGTTGCTGTGCCACAGGTGTAGAGTGGCGTTTCAATTGTATTTTAATAAATAAAGCATGTCTGAAGATCTGATAGTAAAACAGCCCCACTGGTCACCTTACAGACCAGGTAACAGTAACACATCTTTAATCCCAGCAGACGCACTAGTTGTCATAGAAACCAGATGGTGAATGTCTTTAATCATCATGGTACACGCCTTTAGTCCCAGCTGTAGAGAGGATTATAAAACAGGAGGAGACAGCTCTCAGACACACAGTCTCGCTCTCAGATCCCTGGAGGCAGGACCGCCATTTCGGACTGAAGTCAAGGGAAGAGCCAGTAGCTGGCTGCTTTGCTTTCCGGATCTTCAGGTTGAACCTTAGTTTCTCTCCCTGAGTTTTTTAATTAGTCGTGCCTCACAGGTGTCTGCCCTCTCCTCTAGGCACAGAAGAATTCTGAGAGCAACCAGAGCTAGAGGGCTCAACAGTCAGCCCTGTGCCCAAGTCAAAGGGGCTCAGGATATAAAGAGCCTCCAGCCCCAGCATTCCATAACCAGGATGTGGCAGTGCCAACCTGTGATCCCAGCATTCATGAGGATGAAGCAGGAGAGTCTAAAGTTTAAGGCCATCCTCGGCTACACAGCCTGGACTACATGAGACTATCTCAAGCAACTAAAGGGGGATGGGCAGAAGCATCCATAGCGAGCATGGGAGCCACAGCCCTGGTCAAGTCTGGTTTCGCACACCGAGGAGAATCTATGGACAGACACAATTCAAGCAGAGATGCTCCATAAGCAGTCCCGTGCATCAGCAAGTTACTTAACCACTCTGCCTGTTTCCCATCAACAAAACTGAGATAACAGGAAGGACTAAAAACAGCTATGAGCATTAGATGCCTTACCATTTATGCTAGATGGTTAGGCCTGGCCTCATGTGGCCTTTGATGTCCTTGTTGTCATAGTGCTCTTTTTAAAGCCCTGCGCCTGCCCTTCCCCATACCACTGAGATTCTCATTTTATTTCTACTGACCCATCTACTAAGAACGTCCCGAAAACCTAGAACCCAGGTGGGGTTGGAAGTGACACATGTTTGTGTTGACGCTTCCTGCAAGACCTGCCATTTCCAGCAGGGGGCGACCAGCACCAAGCTTTGCTTGGCGTGAGTCCCTGGATACAACCTGCGGATTCCTGCTAAGGTTTTTCAATGTAACTCGGGTAGATTTGCCATCGCAGATCTCCTTCCCGAGCCCTGGGCTCAGCTACTTCTCCGTGTGACCATTTCTCCACCTATGGCATTCTATGCCTTACCATTCAGCCTCAGTTTCCCCTAGTGTGTGAAATACTAGCGTTGTCCATGCTGCCCCATGCCTCAGTTATACCAATCTTTGCTCCAGAGCAGCTTCTCCTTCAACCCCTGCACCAACGAGAGACTTTCAAATAATACAAATGAAAGACCACCATCCCCCCAAAAATCACATCTTTATTGTTTGATTAATGAGCTGACTCAGAGGGAAGAGTGAACTGGGGACGGGGAGTGGGGGTGGCCAGTTTTGAGTAGCCAGAAACTTTTGTTAACTGTGTACAAAACATGAATGTTATAAAAAACCACGTAGAAAATAGGTGGGCAATGCAGGAGCCTTACAGAGGGCTCAAGGCACCTGGAAATTTGAGACATGGTCCAACCGCACATCTGGCTCAGGGACTGGGGCTGAACCCAGCACTTCCTGCCCTGCGGAACAAACATGTCCTCCTCTCTCCTGAAAACCACCGCAGAACTGCTCCTGAAGGGGCGGGGCGTAATGACCACTGTCAGAGGCACTGCGAGAAATAAACTGAGCCCATCCTGAGCCCTGAACTTCCTTCTTTGGGGCCCAGAACTGGAGCTGGGTCATTCCTATCCCCTGGGGTTCTGCAGGGTTCAGCCATTCCCTGGGAGGAGAGGCCATTGGACACTGTACACGGACACATACACCCTGGGCTTTGGTCGGCGCCTCAAGTGGGCAGGGAAGCTGGAGCTCCTCTGTCCGGCTTGTGTAGACTGGGATGTGCCGTGCAGTACAGTCCTGCTGAGGCTGTTGTGTCCAACCAGGTCCTAACTGGGATAGCACAGACAGCACCCAGTGCCCGCCGTGTCCACGCTGGACTTGGCACCAGGTCCCAGCAATCCATCGGTGACCGAGTGCTCCAAGATAATGTCCTCCACTCGGGTGATGTACAGCAACGTCAGCAACACACCAAAGAACTGAGGATGGAGAGGGGGCGGGTGAGAGCCTGCTGACACACGGGCATCCCTTCCAGATAGTTCCCCCATGACACTGGGAAGCCGGGGAAATTGAAGCATCCTCGCACTCACTGCTCAGGCAGCTCCAGGCTAGACCTCTTCTGTCCCTCCCAGGAACATGGAGACTTCCCTGTGCCTCACTATCTGGGCCTTCTGCCTCCAGCCCAGCTCTGTCACACTTTATTCAGGACCTTGGAAAGTCTTGCCACCTCTGTTAAGTGGATGTGGTAACCATACAACCTCACTGGTGGGCTGAAGCCAGAGCCAATACTAAGTGAGCAGTTGAGGCTATTCCATTTGTCTCTCCTTGCAGACCCTAGCCCTCTCTCAGGGGCTCTAGACTTCCACCTTCATCACCCAGCCTTGCTTCATCTGTCCCCACAGACTACCCACCTGAGGAAGCAGGATGCCCAGTAAGAGACCCGCCATGATCGTGTAGTTGTCCATGAACCATATCAACACGGCGTTGGTGCAGCCCCGCACGTGAATGACGTTCTGGGCACTCAGGCGCTGTGCAGGAAGAGGGTGGTGTCAGCACGGGACCCTGGGTTTTCTAGTACTGCTCCTAAGACAGCACTGGGGACACTGGGGCAGTACTTTGGGGGTCAGTACTGCTGGGAACTGGGGGATGGCAGAGTATACCCACATGCTTCTCAGATGCCACCCAGCACTGTACACTATCACCTCAGCCAAAAGCCAACTCCAGGTATATGTGGAAAAACAACAACAAAACCCTATAACTATGTGGTTTTAATGTACAGGGAAGCTTTTAGAATTACTGTTAGATTTTTCCACAAGTGAAACATTCCTCACCATGAAACTTTGCTTCATCCCATAATTATTAAACAACATCATTTGGGGGTGTGGCTGCTGGCAGGCTGCCCCTCTTCCAGTGGATGGTCCCACCCTCACGCATATATGGGCAAAACTAATTGGACCCCATGGGTTATTTAAAAAAGAAAAAGACTGGGCACAGTGGTGTACACCTTTAATCCTAGCACTCAGGATTAAAGTGTATAAGAGACCCTCCATCAGCTGGGGGGGGGGGGTTGGACAAGAGACCCTCCATCAGCTGGGGGGGGTTGGACAAGAGACCCTCCATTAGCTGGGGGGGGGACAAGAGGAACACCATTTCTGGGGACGGAAGGTTTTCAAGCCCTTACCTCCTTGTCAATTGTTTTGTAGCCACACATGGTGTTGACGACATCTGTCTGAAACAGAAACATATCACAAATCACGACTCTAAGGGCTGTAATCCGAAGGACATGCCTTTTACAGGTGAAAGAGCCGAGGGGTGGGTGTAGTCTGGTGTGGGGGGAGCTGAGATTTCCCGCCTCCAGCAGCCGGCTCCAGCCTGTTTCTTAGTTCCCTCCTCAAGAAATCCCCAGTGGAGAGCCAAGGGCAGACCCGCTGCCCTCCCTGGAGATAACCCCTCCACCAACTGCAGTCCAGCTCTTTAGCTAGAAGCACTCCTGAGGCACCCCCACCCCTCTGCTGACCCATCTGTATTTCCCAGTCCAGCCAGGCTGTTCCTACTTGACTGGCTCTCAGAAAGGAAGGAACTGCTCAAACCACAACAGGGCCCCCTGCCAGCTGCGGTTTACCTGAGGGCAAGGCTGGGCCACTGGCCACGCTTCCCTGCCCTTTCAACACTGGGTTCACCACCAGGGTCATAGAAGTTCCTCTCTGAAAAAAGGGCCAGGCTCCAGGACTCCCTGCGGACTCTACAGCTGGGCTCTAGCCTCCATCAAATTCCTTTCCAAGTAGGCTCCATGACACTTCCCATCATTGCCTGTGCCCTGTTTGGTCACATCTTCAGTTATAAGGGGAGAGGTGGAGTCCCAGGTCCAGCCTGGATCCAGTTTGGGTCCCTGCATATGTAAGTGAGGCATCGCTTCCGGGATCCAACCCCAAGAGAATGGAGAGGAAGCGGCACTTGATAGAGTCAGGGGTGGGGTGGGGAGTGGATGAGAAGGTCCCTGGCAATTCTGGAAAGTCAGGGGACCCTGACCTGGGAACCTGATGTCACAGGGACAAGTGCATGGAAGGGCTCTGGCCAGGGTGACACTGCTTACAACCCCAGTCCCAGATGTCATCAGATCATTCAAAGCGGCAGGACTTGGTGTGGGCACAGAATAACCTTTCTCAGTTATGACACTCCCCCGGGTGCCCTCAGACCCAGCAGTGCCCAGCGCTCACATGGCACTGACCCCGGAGGAAAGGGCCAGCCATTCACTTAATGAACAAAGGTTAGCTGGCATTTGTTGCTATCAGTCTCCATTTTAGGGGCTTGGCGCACAGTGGACAAAACGAAGCCCCCGCCTCTACACTGGTAGCCTAGAGAGAAGGCGATGGATGCGACTAGGGAATGACGTAGCTGAGAAAGAGGCGGCAAGAGAGACCTCGCTGGGCAGCTGGAGGTGGGGTTGCATGACGCCAGAGGACATGGTAGTGTGAGAGCCTGGCTCCCTTGCCTCGGCGCGAGTCAACTTGGAGGGGTCATATGTATAGATTCAGCGGAGACTCGCACCCAAAGGGCACCGAACCTCCGCCACTGCTCACACCCCCACTCTCCCCCTCCCACTTGGTGTTTGCTTGCTTATGTGTGCCCTGCAGTCTGCCCTCCTGCTGCGGCTGCTCCACTCCCACTTGCTGCCAGCACCTCAGCGCTGACTTCTGTCACTCATGAGGACACCACCTTGTGGTCTTCAGGGTACGACCTTGAATCTCCCCTATTCCCTGCTGATCTCAGTCTGATATCTGGTCACACAGGCCTTCCTGCTGGTTCTCAAACACACCAGGGCAATTCCTACCCCAGGACCTTTGCACCTGACACTCTCTCTGCTGAGGGTTCCCCTCGCCAAAAACACTTGTGAAGCTTACTCCCCCACTCCTTCGGGTTTTCCTCACAATCCACCTCTGTATCTAAAACTGCCGCCTCCCTGAATGTTCCTTAGTGTCTCCTTCAAACCCCTGTCACTTACGTTGTCAGTTTCTCTCACTAAATCGTCCCCATTTGGGAGGGACTTCTACGTGTGCCTGCAGTCCCTCCAGAGCCTAGCAATATGTCTGGCACACAGTAGGTCTTCAGTCAATGGTTGCTAAATGAATAAGCAAATGAAGGAAGACACACTGGGCTTCCACAATTCATCTTGGACACCCAAAGTGCACTCATGGGAGATGAAGTTCAAGGTCACCTTCCGCAGTTCTCTGCAAACCCGGGGAACCTTCCACAGCACTCATCAGCCTCAGAGGCCTGGGGTTTCCAAAGTCCCTCCACCCGGCCTTTCACAGGGCAAGTTCATTTGGCACTGGTCCAGACTTTAGGCAGAAGCCCCGCCCACAGCCACTCTGTTCCCATGGTGACTGGCTGGGGTGGTAAGCACAGCTGTTGGAACCATCAACAAGAGACTTTGCACGAGGGTGTGTGCATGGGAGGTGGGGGAGTAATTGTGAGGCTTTTGTTTCGGGCTCGGTCCAGAAACGGGGCAGTGCCTGATAGACTTGTCATACATCAGGACTGATGTCTTGGTGACCGCACAGCTCAGCATCCCAGATGGCTGGGGAAACAGCTGAGAGGCTCCTGCCAGGGAAAGGTGGAGGCTGGCATTTACATCACCACATCCCTGCTGGCCACAGCACTGCTCACCACGCCTGCACTGTACGGGGTGGAGCTGGTTGCCCCTGCCGGGCGCCTGGCCTGACACAGCTGCATTCCATGCCAGCCCTGCCAACCTTGGGCAAGTCTTCTAGAGGGGGTTTGTAACAGTGCCTCTGGTCTCCCCAGGTCTCCCTTTGCATCCCTGCTGTGGATACAAAGAGCCTGGGCCGGGCCATGCACATGCTCCAGCGATGCCCACTGACACACCCACAGAGGAGGCTGCCCACCCAGCTCCCCTCTGCCAGAGCCCAACCAGCTGGGGGATCCTGCACCCAGCACCCCTGCGGTTACCGTGTTCCTGATGCAGCAGGTGTAGGGTACCCCGCAGGCCAGGGGCCCGGGAGCGCTGCAGTCATGGTACTGGTTTTTGCTCCAGTCTCTGTAGTCCTCCCCGCCGCAGCACTTGAACTGAGGAGGAAAGCACACTGATCTGAGTCATTGGCAAAGGCAGGGTCAGTGTGTGTAGGGGGTGGGGAGGGGGGAGTACCAGGGAGGGGGCAGGAGGGCCAGGGTGAGGGTGGGAGTGTCAGGGTGGAGGTCTGAGTGCCAGAGTGGGGGTGGGGGCCAGGGAGGGGGCGGGAGGGCCAGGGTGGGGGGCCAGGGTGGGGGCGGGAGGGCCAGGGTGGGGGGCCAGGGTGGGGGCGGGAGGGCCAGGGTGGGGGCGGGAGGGCCAGGGAGGGGGCGGGAGGGCCAGGGTGGGGGCGGGAGGGCCAGGGTGGGGGCGGGAGGGCCAGGGTGGAGGTCCGAGTGCCAGGGCCTCATGATGCCATCTTCTGTTAGGCCAGAGGAATCAAGAGTGGCATGGCCATACAAAAAGGGGTGAACTCTCTACCCTGGAAAGCCATGCACGGTAAGGCAGGACTACTTCAATTGGACACCAGGTGCTGACTAGACACTAGAAAGGGAGTCTCCCTGGCAACCGATCTGCATCCTTCTCCATCTTCAAGCCCCTGGGGTAGGGGTCTTGCCGGAGAAGACAGCCTCAGAGGCCAGGTCCTATGAAAGCCCTGCTCCATCCTGACCTTGGAGACCAGAATAAACTGCCATAGTCTCCCCCTCCCACCTCTCCCTTCTGTACCAGGGCCAGCTTGGGGTGGGGGGTGGAGTGCAGCAGAAGGACCAGCTGGATGACTTCCTCCTGGACAAGGTAAAATCACCCTGGGAGATAGACCTACTGGCTAAGTGGTGAGAGCCACGGTCAAGCATACAGGCACGCCTGGATTCCCAGCAGGAGGAATGGTACAGTGTAGAGCCAACCTGGGCTACATAGTGAGTTCTAAGATAGCCTAGGCTACAGGATAAGACTCTCTCAAAAGCAAAAACAAAAAACAAACAAAACTATCCCAAAACTCCCTGAGGGAGGGTGTGACCAGGAAGGGGTGCTGTATACCTGGGCACAGGGAAGGCGGGGGGGGGGGGTGACTTTATGTTGGGAGGACGGAAAGACTGCTCAAAGGAGAGGACATGTCATGTGAAACATGAACAAGGAAGAGACAGTCAACACGTATGTGGAAAGGCCCTGTACATCAGCAGCGAGTGGAAAAGTTCGTGAGTGGAGGGGATAAGGTTCAGGGAACAGAGGCCAATGTGGAAAGATCCATCATCCAGAGTAAACAGAAGTCTGGGACTGCTCCAGGAGCAGGAAGCTGAAGGAGCGTGTGGTGGGAGTCCAGGTAGACAGCATCTGGACACCCTTCAGCTGTCTCCACGGTGCCCTGGCAGCCACCAGGCCTTCCTTGGGATCCACGAGTGCCTATCTGCAGTGTTGTACCAGGGCCATGTGTTCTGTTGCTGGACAAGATACATTCAAATCCTCCCATCAACACCCCGGGTGTGTGACCAAGGGCAAGGGGATCAGCCTCTCTGGGTCTCGGACGCTTGTCTGCAATGCCGGCTCCGTGGGGCTGAGCTGGACTGTAGGAGACGCCCTGAGGGAAGCGTTCTGCGCAAGGCCCAGTGAGCATTAGTCACCTCCTGCCCCCACCCACAGAGAAATGACATCTCTGAGCCAGCTAAGGGCTGGTTCCAACAAAAGCATCTACCAGGAGAATGACTCGGCCCTCCCAGCCTGGGCTACCAGGCACACGGATGGCAGGAAGCAATCTCCCAGAAGCTGCACCTGTTTCTCCTACAGAGAAACACAGAGCCACAGGCCCCAGGGTGTGGTGAAGCTGGCCTCCACTGAAGGCTCAGGGGACCAGGAACACCAACTGCCAGGCTCGGGAAGGGCCTGTGACCCTCCAACATCACCGTCCCCACCCAGTGAGTGAAGGTGACCCCCACTGTACTGGCTCTGCTCTGAGCATTTCAGAAAGAAGCTGAGCAAGTCACAGCCACTGTGAAACGAGAGACAACGAGAAACCTGCGCCTCAGGACAAAGAAAAGGCAGCCCAGCCCCAGGGAAGGGTAACCCCACTTCCACCCACAAACTGGGCTGGGCCTCGGGGAGAGGGATAGTGTCCCAAAAGGACACACAATCGTCATCACATTCAAAGGTGTGTGAGAGGGGTGGGAGGGGTCTTGTCCCATGTCCAACGGGAAGAGCTGGGATTGGGAGAGAGTTTTCTCCCCACCTTTGCTGAAGTAAACTCTCCACACCTGAGGGACCGGGTCCAGTAGGCTGGACCCTGGGGGAAGGCCAGCCAGTCCCGAGAGAAGGAGATCCCTGTCTTCCAGGGGCTGGGCCCTACAAAATAGCCAGAGAGACATCTGGCCTTGTGAGTTGTTCCCCGTGTTTGAAGGGCCACCCACAGTCAGCCACCTGCATTGGGACTGTATAGGTCAGCTGGCCCTTCGCCCCACTCTCTGGAACAGAGGCTCAGGACAGGGACAGGTCCTGGAGGTGCCCCTCAGACCCCATGCTCCCCATGTCACCTTCTTCTGAACAAAGTCCATGATGTTCTTGAAGTCCAGGTCGTCGTAATAGTTCTCAATTCCTCTCCGAATGTTGTCATTCAGGAAGTCAATGGTCTATACAGAAGGAAACAATACCGCCAAGGAGAAGGAGCATACATCAGGGGCTAGGCCCAGATTATTCTAGAAATCTAGGATAGCACAGCAGTGTAGCCAACGGTTCCCACCTACCTGAGTAGGTCTCCCCCACGCCCCACCCTGAACACCCGAGACTACCCAGCTCACAGATATTCCCTAGGTTTCCAAAGCCCAGGTCCTGAGAGCCCGGCTTGCCAGGCTCCAACTCTGAAGAGTAGTGTGCTAGAGCTGGGCCTCAACCCTCCTGATTCCTGGCAGGTATTCTCTCCTCTGCCCAGCAACAGGCCTGAGCTAGAATCTTCCTTTGATGCTCCAGCCCCTCAGCCACACTCTCATCACCCAACCTCTTGCTTTACGAAGAAGGAAACTGAGGCCCCAGGGGAAGAGTACTATGGAGCTGGGAGAAAGGGGAGATAGAGGACAGACTGCCCTGGGTCACAGAGCGGGCTGGTCAGGACTGGAATCCAGGTCCCCTGACCCCCCCCTACATGGGCCTCTCTCTTCATCACTCTGTGCTCTGACCCTCAGGCCACACAGTCTCCTCCCAGTTTGGGCACAATCAATCTCCACCCGGAAGGGCACTGGAACGCCACCCTCTCCCAGTCACGCTGGGCTCTCGGGATCAACAGCCGGTTGTTGTGCTGAGGTCTCCGGAATACAAAGGCTCCACAGCAGGCAGGGCTGGGGTGGGAGAGTGGGCAGCTCAGTCACAGGCTTGTTGTGACAATCGGAGCTTTCAGAGCAGAGGCAGAGTACCAGCAGAGACTGGGGACAAAAGGCATTCTTGGCTCTGGTACAGGACAGAGGAGCCAGACAATTCCTGGGGGAGCCACCACGAGGTACGCTGGGATGGCAGGGGCCAGCTTCCAGGCCCTGTTAGGGCTGAGTTTCCCATTGGTGATCAACCCTGGGGACCTTCCAGACCTAAGCATTAGCGATAAAGCTAAAAGGGCCATCAAGTCTCATGGTTAAGGCCATAGTCCCTGCTGCCACTAGGCCCCAGGTACTTCTTTTAATCTCCAAGCCTCCTTCTCTCATCCACAAAATAGGGAGACAAAGACAGTCAGCCTTCTGGGGGGGTGACAGGAGTTTGAACCCCTGAAAGTGCTCATTCACGGATGCTGGGTACATGGTTGGTCCCGATAACACAGACATCTCTGCAAGTGGGAAACAGATCCTTGGGGGAGGGGGCAGGGGATGACTTCATATGGCCACAGAGGAAGCTCAGTCCCCAGGGGAGCTAAGGCCTACCCCTTGCCCAAAGGACCTCCTGCCAGAGCGGTAGCCCCTAGTATGAGCATCCTGGAGCTTATATGAGACACTTGCAGCCCTGAGATCAGTATGCCTTATCCAAGGTCCCCCAGCTGACCAAAATGCCAGCCCACCAGCCCACCACACTCCAAGTTACAGGCTAAGAAGCCCGGGTTCAGGCTAAGAGAGGGCAGGGCCTGACTTGAGAGCCTGGAGGCCCTCCCCTCCCCTCCCCCACACCTCTGCTGGTGACCAGTGGCAGCATAGACCCTAAGAGAAAAGAAAGCCACAGGCTTCTACAAGAGTTTCTGAGGTCATCAGCACACAGCCCTTCATGGGTCTGGCACCGGACCCCAGGGTAGGGGTTGAGTGGCCCACCTGCCTGCCAGCCACACTGCATAGGCAGAAGTAGGACCAACCAAATCCTAGCCTGACGTCCCATCTAACCTTGCCTGCCTGGTCCTCTGGGGGATGTGGTGACAGGCCAGCTGGCCGGGGTGGGGTGGGGATGAATAAGAAACAGGACATGAGGGTGAGGTCTGTCTGCCACCCGAGGGGGTGAGGGAATGAGCTCATAGCCCTGACCGATGCACTGCAGGGCTTCACTGGTTGAGCTAGGGCATGTGGGTGACACCAGGGTCAGGGACTTGCCTCGGCCACAAGGGTGGAAATGTGATGTGACGGCCTCTTTCCACTCTGGGCACACTGGGGACACAGAGCTCACTCACCATGGTCCTCCCTTTCCACCTCAGCCATTCTAGATCTCCATGGAGGCCCTTCCCTCAGGGCAGGCCATGGCGAAGATGAGGGCAGGAGGCATAGTGGCCAGGGTAGACTGGTAGCCTGTGGGGTCAGTCGGTCTGCCATCTATCTATCTATCTATCTATCTATCTATCTATCTATCCATCCATTCTCTCTTTCTCTTGCATTCTCCCTCCCCTGCTAAGTCTTGCTAGGATCTGAGGTATGTGCTGGCCCCACCAAGACAGACCAACAGACCAGGAAATTCCATATACCCATATGAGGACCATCTTCCCATCCAGGAAGCTGTACTGCTCCTGTTATGGGGGAAGGCCCTGCAGGAAACCTCCCTGACCAGACACGGGGGAACAGATAGTCCTGACCCAGCCAGCTCAATGAGATGGTTGTTGGCATTGTTTTGGCTGCTGCAAACCTGCACTGCTCCTGGAATTGTGCATGTGGTGTGTTTCCTGGGAACATGAACAAGACACCAAGGTGGTCCCTTGGCTGTGGCCATTAAAAAGATGTAACAAATTCCCATGGTGCACTCAGGTTGTACAGTTTCCAAATCATAAAGTGTTTGCTAGTGTCCACAACACCTATCACGCATGATTCAAGGGAGCTGGGGTCAATCAGAAGAGGGACAGGGCACAGAAGAGGAAACTCTAGCTTCTGCAGCTGTTGCCGGCGGCCAGCCACACCACACCCAACTCTCAACCAGGTCACACCATCAGGAGCTACTTCAGCCCGCAAGCTGCCTTTCACCAGGGCTGGCACATACCACAATGGGCACATGACCTGGAGCAGGCAGACATCAAAGGCCACGTGACTTCTCTAAGTGTGTGTTGCCACCAGAGGAAGCTGTGCAGACCTGTCCTTTCCAGAATTCTCCTTTAAATCTGGATTTCTAGCCTTGGATGCCCCCGCCACACCCCAGGGAAGTCTTAGACTATTTTAAATGGATGGAGGTGTGTGTGGTACAGCTCCCTGTGCAGGAGCCAAGTGTGAAGGAGTCCAAGAGCATCTCGCAGGCTGGCTGCTCCAGGATACAGCCCCTCTGGGGATAAAAAAAAAATGTTCTGGGCCTCTCTGCAGGCTGTCCAAAGCTCCTGTCACTTTCTGGACAGCGCTTGAGACCTCAGGCAGTTGTATATATGTCCAGGTGCTTAGCCAAGGGGACCATAGAGCCACCAGCTTTCTCCTGCCCCTGACTTCAAGATATTCTAAGTGCCAGCTAGTATGCTATGCCAGGATAAGATAACCAAGGGGATGCTGCCTGCCAATCTCTGTCCTGGCATCAGGAATGACCAAGGCATACTCTGATCAAGACAGAAAGCCATCTGAAGTCATCTTGTTCTGCTGGGAGAGATGGCAGGGGGCCTGGGAGATGAGTACAGACCTACCAGATATAGTCCAAGACCCTCCAGTGTTTATGCTCCGTTTTGCCATCTCTGACACCCCGATGCCGTCTTGATGAAACCCAGAGCAAGCTAGGCCAACAGTTAAGAATGGAGACTATAGCTCAGGTTGTGGGGTCACCAAGTCCCCTTACTATGCTCAGGGTCAAAGCACCGGACATTTTTCTGCTGGCCCCTACTTGACTCCCCAGCACACACCACACACATGCACAGACGAGGAGACCCTGCACTCTGCTTGCTGGGTCCCCCTGTGTGCAGATACCTCACCTAGCACAGGGGCAGTTTCTTCTCATATCTAAGTATCCAACACTGAACTTCTTGTACAATGGCTAAAGAAATCTGCCTTCTCCTGAGGAAGCAGGACTTGGGTGACTTGGGCACCCCCCCTCTTCTTCTCCATCCCCTCCTCATCACTGGCCCCTCCCCGACCCAGCAGCATCTTCTTCTCCCATTCTCAGCACTGGCTTGGCTCTTCTCTGACAAAATCATTTGCAGAGAGCCAGAAGGGGTGCACTGGTTGTTTTTTTGTTGCTGCTGTTTTTGTTGCTTAATGAGGCATTCCCCACCAGCACCACAAAAAACGAGAAAGAAAACTTTAGGAGCTAGAAAAAAAAATAGAGAAAAATCAACTCACCCCACCCCTCTGGTTCCAGCAGTTTCTCCAGCTTTTTTTTTTAATTTTTGAAATAAGGAATTACTGTGTAACCTACATATGCCTCAAAGTTGCAATTCTCCAGTTTCAGCCACCAGAAGTTCAGGGATTACTGGTGTGAGCCGCCATGTCTGCTGTGTTCAAACAACCTTAAATATTATATATTGTGATTTTTTTTTTTTTGTAATTTTGAGGCAGGGTCTTGCTATATACCCCTGGCTAGTCTGGAACTCACTATGCAGCTCAGGTTGGCCTCAAAGCCTCAGCCATCCTCCTCCTGTTTCAGTCTCTCCGGTCATGGGACGGGTAATGGTGCCACGGATATAGGCATGTGTCACTATTTTATATGTTTATTTTCTTTTGCTCCTGGTTCCTTGCTCATGACCCCGTTTCCCAAGGCAGGCAAAACAAACAAACAGAAACAAACCTAGAAGCTCTGTTCCCCAAGGAGGGTCACAGAAGTGGTCACCTGCCCCACTTTCGGGGCCACAGAGACCAGCTCTGAGCCATTCTCATCTGGTAAGGTCATTCCAGAGGGGTCCATGGCAAACCCACAAGAAAATGCTGAAGAATCTTCAAACAGGCTTCCCCGCCCGCTTTGACAGTCCTACCTACACAATGGTCTTCATAGCCACCCAAAGGGACAGTTTGGGGAACTGAACACAGGGTAGTCCTACAGGGTAGAGCATTGGGAAAGGCGCTGACCAAGAGAACATCTCTTCTCGTCCTTTAGAATGGTTTTGACATGGTTGGTTGTTGTTGTTATTTGTTTGTTTTGTTTTTTTGAGACAGAGCCTCTCTAGCTTTGTAGCCCTGGCTGTTCTGGAACTTATTACATAAACCAGGCTGGCCTTGAACTCACAGAGATCCACCTGCTATGTGCCCTGGGTGCTGGGATTAAAGGTATGTGCTACCATACCTGGCCTTTGGCATGTTTTGTTTAGTTTTGAGACGGGGTTTCAAGTAGCTGAGGTTAGCCTCAAATTTACCAAGTCGTTGAGGGAGAGCCCTGAACTCCCTCACAAACTATGAAGCACACATTTTATGGTCATAGAGCCCATAGGGTGTGGGGATAACTAGAAAATCATTCCTGACCCAGGCCTTGGCTTCCTAAGCTGTGAGGACTGAAGGTCCCAAGAGGCTCCCAAGGCAGTGGCCTTCACTCAGCTCAGTTCCCTCATTTAAAAGAAGGAAGTGATGTCACGGCCATGACTGACCTTTAAAGCACTGGGAAATGACAAACCTGACAGACAGCCTTGGAGAGGCATGCTGGAACCAGGGCTAGCTCTCTTGGAAAGGACAGGTTTATTAAAGCCACGAATGGCCCTGACGATGAGCTGGCCCTGGGACTCATCCAGGAAAGTGCTAACCTAGACCCCTGCAAGACCACTGGCCAACTGAGAGACCTGCTGACCACACAGGAAAGCATAGACAACTATCAACAGCTGGAATAAACACCTCTCTCTACTCAAGACTGCTGGGGCATGAACCAGTACCAGCTCAGAAGACATGCTTTGAAAAGCAGAAAGAAGAAACAGCTCAAGGGGCCTGGGGTGTGGTGGCACATGTCTGTGACCCCAGCTCTGGGGAGATGCAGGCAGTAGGTTCAAGGTCATCCTTCCTACACAGCTAGTTTGAGGCCACCAGACTATGGAGACCCTGTCTCAGAAAACAAAACACACACACACACACACACACACACACACAAAATATACACACATACCTTTCTGTTCTTGGAAGGGCTTCTTAACCTCTCTGGGCATTGATGACTCTCCATCAACACAATGGGAACTGGTCCTCTCCCCAGACCCTTGGACCTCTCTCACTCATTAGGAAGCAGATCCTGAGGTCCTACATTTGCTTAGGGTCAGGCCCCATTGTTCATGTCCCCTTCTGGGTCAGAATATCACCATGCCAATGCAGGATGGAGTAGGGATCAGACATGTCGCTCTTTGAGGGTATGGGACAGTGACTGGTGACTTAGAATCAACTTCTGACAAGTTACATAGTTCAACAACAGCCCTTGAGGCACATTTTTATTGTTTTGAGACAGGGTCTTTCCACATAGCCCTGCCTGTCCTGGAACTGGCTAGACCATATAGACTAGACTGGCCTTGAACTCACAGAAATCTGCCCACCTCTGCCTCCTGATGAGACACAGTCTTAACAGTACCTGGAAGGTCAGGGACAAAGCCCTACCTATAACACCCAGTGAGGAGGAAGGCAGGGGAGGAAGCTAACAGGAGACAAGCCAGAGCTCGGTATGCAGCTCAGTGGTAGACCGCTTGCCCAGCTTGTGCGGCATCCCAAGGAAAAAGACAACACCCTGAGTTGGAAGATGCTCTACCCCATCACTAATGGGATCTCAGACAAGAGATGCTGAGGAGGGTCTGGAAAGGCCTGAACCATGCCCTGCTCATCACATTCCCCTCTTCATTCCATGTTCACCCCAAACTCTGGGAGGAGGAAGTACTCAGGGTCAAGGAAGCCACGTGACCTGACCAAGGCCCCCAGATAGTATGAGGCACCTGAGTGTAGACTGTGAAGGCACCTGGGGCCCGGAACTGTGAAACTTGTGCACCTGTGGACACTGCTGGGCTTGGGTATCAGGCATCACTCACTCAACCTGTCCCTTCCCTCAGTCCCCAAAACACACAAACATCAAATCCCACTGTGTCAGACCTGGGCACATTTGCCTCCACTTCCATCTGAGCCACCGTCCCTTTGCCTCTGGATGACTGTCACAGTCTCTGGGCTAGACTCCTATGTTGTCCTTACTTCTCTACTGCCCGTTCTCCACTTGGCCAATAGCCTCTGAGCACCTATGTACCCCCCACGCCAGCCTGCCAACTTCACCTTCCATCCTTCTCCCTACACCTTACCCCATGAGTCAAGCAGACTCCAGTCCAGACTGTTCTCTCAGTGTGCCCAGCGGTTCCTCCCACCTCTGCTCACCCAGCCCCTTGCCATGATACGGTGCTGTATGGCCTGGCCTATCCCAGGTCACCCAGCTCCATAGAAACCATCTGTCTATCCTGTCCACAGCAGCACCCTGGGTAAAGCCCAGGACACACACAGTGGGTGTCCAATACACACATAGCTGACCTACCTGGTTCCGGAAGATCAAAGCCACTATGCCGCCGATAAGCTCCATTATGAGGCAGATCCCCAGGATGTACATAAACTGGAAGACAAGATTCAAAGATTCATCCGGGGAGTCAAGGGAAGGCTCAGAGAACTCCATACCTGCACTAAGATCAAGCACAATAAGGTGGGGGGTCCTCCCTGACGGGGCCCTGCTGTCCTCCTAGAGAACACAGGGCACTGCTCAGGAAGGCTTGACTCTAGAGAGTGACTGAGATGCCTCTGGCAGATACTCCTCATATTTGCCCCAGGAATTCTAGTGTGTGTGTGTGGGGGGGGTAGACAAACAGTAGGCTCCTCCCCCAATTAGACTGGTATCCTCCCTCTAACACAGCCAGAGGGAGCAGCCTGGATAGCACTTCCTGTCCCTGGTACTCCACTGCCTCCCTAAATAGCTCAGAAGTGGCTTCCTAGTCAGCCAAGTACAGAAGAGGCACTTGAAGTTTAAGGACACACACTCCACCTTTTGTTTGAGAAAAGATATTGACCAGATTGATTCTAGCAAGTCCCAGCCTTGGGCAGTACCAAGACCCTGCTTGTGTGTGACTACAAAGCCACCCATCAGAGGGATGATGGGGGCAAAGAGGGGAAGACACACATGCATCAGAGGACAAGGGCCTGCACACCCAGTGTTCCCAGGATTGGGTGTCTCCCCTCAGCTATCAACAAGGGTTGTGTGGACTACAACTCTCCACCTGATGGGCACGTGATCTGAGCCAGGTGCTCCAGTGTACTGGGACTCTGGCCAGAGTGGCCAAAAAAGACACCCTGGGCTCAGAAGCAATCAAGATTCTGTGCCTGAAGACGGTAGGCAGGAGCAGTCCTGCTGGAGGTGGCAAAACAGACTGCCTGGCCTTGCCTGGTGGTGCCGCGAGGCCCCCTGGCCCCCATAGGTTTGCTGGCTGCATGAGCCCATGATTCATCCTCCCATCCCCCAGCTTTGCTTGATCTCAGATGACCGCCATCTCCCCTATGACAGCTGGGAATCCAGAGACCACAGCAGTATCCAAGTCAGATGTACATACAGGCTGATATGAGGTCGCTGGGGTGGATATGGACCACTGTGCTACGGTGGCCGATTCAGGAAATGTTCTTGGGCAGCTGGATGGTGTGAAAGACAGAAGGAACCCAGCTGGCCAAGGCAGAGGGACAGGCTCTTCAGCTTTCTTGGAGACACCAAGAACAACTCCCTCCATCTTGGGGCTGGGAGGAGCCACTTACCGACTGGAGAAGGCACAGGTTGTCCCGGAGGGAAGCCAGCACCCCGATGAAGGAGACAATGAACATGACTACCCCCAGGAGGATGAGGATGATGGCCGGGGCCAGGAAGGCGCTCTCCAGGGTTTTGTATTTCTGCCGCTCGACCTCTGCATAGATCCCCACTGACAGGACCAGGCCCCCAATCAACTGCAAAAAAAAAAAAAAGTAGAGAGTGAGGGGCTGTGGAACGGTGATAATTCAGTCAGAGCATCCTTGCCTAGCAGGAATTCCTTCCCTAGGTTTGACCGACTACAGAGCATAAACCAGGGGCAGCGGTGCGCACCTATAATCCCAGCATTTAGACAGTGGGGTCAGGAAGTTCAGAAGTTTCAAGTCATTCACACAGGAAGCTTGGAGACAGTTTAGCTACATGAAATCCCGCCTCCAAAGGTGGGTGGGGCAGGGAGGAGGAAGATGTCAGGCAGCTACTTGACTTTACTCAAAGGGTATCTCTGAAACTGTGATCCCAGCCCCAAGACATGGGGTCCCCAGGGAACTGCACATGAGGGCTGATGCTGTGGGCTCAACTATGCATCCCCACAAACCAGTGCCTCAGAATGTGACTATATTTGGACTTGGGACCGTGGAAGCAGTAATTAAGTTAAAATGAGATCATTAAGGTGGCTCTAGTCCAATATGAGTGCTAAGTTGGTTACAGGCTGGGAGGTAGCTCAGTTGATAGAGTGTTTGCCTAGAACGCAGATGCCCTGGGTTCAAGTCCCAGCACCACATAAACCGGGTGACGGTTTAGCACTTGAAGGGCGGAAGCAGGAGAATTGGGGTTTAAGGACATCTCTGGCTACATGCAAGCTTGAGGCCAGCCTGGGATACATAAGACCTTGTCTGAAGAGGAAGGAGAAGACAGAAGTAACAACACAAAAACGCACAGAAGGACCACAAGAAGATGTGTAAGGAAGACAGCCACCTGTAAGCCAAGTAGAGGGCTTGGAAGAAAAGAACTCTGTCAACAACTTGATCTTAGGTTTCGACCCACCAAACTATGAGGAAAGAAAACTCCGTGGTAGTGTATGTTCTAACAGCCCTGAAGACGGACACCAACTGCAGCGGACAGTGCTGGCGGAACGGGGAAACGGCACTTCCTGCAGCGTGCGTCAGAGAATGCGGATTTGTCTCAGGTCTGGGACAGGCACTGGCCAGGAGTCTACATTCTCATCTGAATAATGGGTATGAACACACTGCTGTCCTGCTCACCCAGCAGCTTTTAAAAAGGTTTTAGTGAGATAGTGAAGATGAGCATTCTAAAAACAAGGGGCACGGGGTCACTCTCATGCACACTCAATAGGCGGGCCACTCTGGGGACACTTCCCAGCTGCTCAAGGGGCAAACGCTTCAGTCTCATAAACAAGGAATTTCCTTTTAGAAGGACCATCGAGAAGGCCGAATGTCAGAACAGCTGAGATTTCTAGGGCATTTAAGTGCAATCTCCTCTTATTGACATTTTAACACAGAGACACGGTACATATGTTAGCCACATAGGGTAACTTCCTACCAGGAAAACCAGGCTGTCATTCACACACAGGCTCACCCCACGGCCTTCGGCTCTCCTTTGGCAGAACATGCTTCCCTCATGCTAGACATCCTATGGTACACTCCCCCAAATCCTCCGGGGTGTTCAGTTGTCACCTGTTCCATGAAGCCTTTGGGGACACATTACTAAAAACTGGAAATCCCTGATTGTTGTGGTCCACATGCTTGCAATTTCACCTCTCAGGGATCTAAAGTGGGAGGGACTGAGAATTCCAGGTCGGCTTGGGCTACATTAGAGACTCTCATCCCTCCCTTCCTTTCCCCCGCCTCTCTTACACACACACACACACACACACACACACACACACACACACACAGTAAAAAATACTGTTAATGGAGTGGGGATCCCTCCCCATGAAAGTCCTTACATCTTTTTTCCTGATTTATTTCTTCCCATTTGTACTTATTAGTATGTTGAAAGTGGGTGTTTAACTTGTTTGTTTAGTTGATATAGGGTCTCACGTAGCCCAAGCTGGTCTTGAACTTGCTGTGTAGCCCAAGATGACCTTAAACTGCTGATCCTCCTGCCTCTGCCTCCCAAGTCCAGGATTACAGTGTGTGTCACTGCTCTTGGATTTGTACTGACTAGTATTAAATATGCATTCATTATTTTTTTTTAATTTTTTTTACATTTTTTTTATTGGGGGTGGGAAACATGTGGAGGTCAGAAGACAACTTTTGGGAATTAGTTCTCTCCTTCTAGCATGTGAAACTGAAGACTGAACTCAGGTCATCGGGTCTGGTGGCAAGCACCCTTGCCCGCTGAGTTATCTCATCGGCCTTTATTTTTTCTTTTCTAATTGTTTATTCCCATGCCCCCCTAAGACAGGACATAACTCCAGGACAGGTAGGCTTTCGGCAGTTCAGGGCACCCCCATTACCCTGGAAATCCCAACATGAGGAAGTCTGGCCAGTGTTTACAGCCTGTGTCTGCTGAAGGAAACCGGGCTACGCTTTCCCACAGACCTCAAGGTTTGAGTTAGACATCACTTCCCCCAAGTGTGTCTAAGCAAGGACTTCTATAGACTTCTCCAGTCCACAGAAAGCAGCATGGATGAGTAACAGATGCCACGTCCAAAGTAAGACCAGTGAGGGACGTTACTGACTGTTGGCGAGCTATGCTGAGAAGTGACAGGGATCTCAGGAGTCACACCGACAATGACACAGAAACAGCTGACAAGATGACCAGGAAACCAGGCCTCTCGGACCCAGTGTCCTCTTAGACTTTAAGCTGAGTCTTCCTGGTTTGCGAAGATGGCTGAGAAGCACCTCCTGGTCTAAAATGGTCTCTCTAGTACGCATGGCCAGGAGGCTAACGGCATGGACAGAATCAGTCAGCAGTTCCATATGGACAAGTTAGCCAAAGCAGGGAAACTGTGGGTAAAGGATCAAAATGATCCATTTGGGTAAATTTTTTTTAAATATTTATTTATTATGTATACAATATTCTGTCCGTGTGTATGCCTGCAGGCCAGAAGAGGGCACCAGATCTCATTACAGATGGTTGTGAGCCACCATGTGGTTGCCGGGAATTGAACTCAGGACCTTTGGAAGAGCAGGCAATGCTCTTAACCACTGAGCCATCTCTCCAGCCCCCTTGGGTAAATTTTTTAAATGATCAGGGCAACAGATATAACACAGACAGACAGATAGATAGACAGACTCCCCCAAACACACACATACACACATACACACACTACCTCCCTACAAGAAAAAGGCATCCACAGGAATAAACTATACTCTTGATAGAGAAAGAGTAACTGTAGGTTGTCTGGTGAGAGGCATTCTAAAAGCCAGAGCAAGGTCTAAGCAAGATTGGCCTCAGCTCCTAGGGTTCTCTGAGACATACAGTGGGCAAACATTAGAAAGCCGATTCTTTTTGTTTGTTTGTTTGTTTGTTTTTGTTTTGTTTTGTTTTTCGAGACAGGGTTTCTCTGTGGCTTTGGAGCCTGTCCTGGAACTAGCTCTGTAGACCAGGCTGGTCTCGAACTCACAGAGATCCGCCTGCCTCTGCCTCCCGAGTGCTGGGATTAAAGGCGTGCGCCACTACCGCCCGGCTCAGAAAGCCAATTCCTATGGTGGGCACAGTCGCATACCCTTAATCATTGCACTTGGGAGGCAGAGGCTGTTGGATCTCTGTAGACCAGCCTGGTCTACAGAGCAAGTTTTAGGACAGCCAAGGCTACACAGGAAAACCCTGTCTCAAAAAACAAACAAACAAACAAAAAGGAGGAGTCTGAAGTAGTTGGTGATGTAACTCACTGGTTGAGCACCTGCCTAAAAAGCCAGACCCCCTTCTGAGTCCACATCCAAGGGCTGCTCACTGCATCCCAGCCTTGGAAGGGTCAGCCCTGAGAAACCTGGATGTTTTCTTAGTCACAGCTCTGTTGCAGAGAGAAGACACGGCAACCATAAAAGAGAACATACCACTGGGGACTTGCTTACGGTTTCAGACGATGAGCCCGTGACCGTCATGACAGGGAACGTGGCTGCAGTAGGGCAGGCATGGTGCTAGGGTCATAGCTGAGACTCGACAGAAAGAGAGTGAGGGTAGGCCTGGCACAGGCTTCTGACCCATCCCCCAGTGACCCACCTCTCCAGCAAGGCCACACCTCCCAATCCTTCCTAAACAGTCCACCGACTGGGGACCAAACGTTCAACCCACCACAGATGACGACATCCCTCAGAGCAAAGGGGTTGTCAGAAGCCACACGTGGAAGGAATCAAATACGCAGGGATCCAGCGTTGTGAGGGCAGCAGGGGTGGGGCTTCATCATGTCCCTTGGTGAAAAGTTTGATTCTCACCCTGTCCCTGAACCATATGGCTCATCGCACTAATGTTTTCAGAACTGATTCCATATGTTCTTGAAAGTTGGAAGCATCCTGTCGTTAAAAGTTCATCTTTCCGACAGGATGGGCCCTGAGCCCTGCTATCTCCCTCTGCTCATGGCCCCTAGCCCATCCCAGCCCCCACCCCTCCTTCCAGCCTGAGCCCCTGCTCAGCCTTTGAATCCATCCTTTAAATCCCAGAGCCGTGGGACAATTTCAAACATAGCCAACCTCAGCCCTCTGCAGAAGGACCATGGGTGGATTCTTTTATTTTTATAAGCTCTCTGGAGCCCTGGGACCACTCCAGGACAGTCTTGCTGGCGGTGAACCAAACTTCACTTGGTCTGACCACAGTCACCCATCAGACACCACTACCGGTTCCTTGCTAGGTTAGCCAATGACAACTCTAGCCCACCAAAGCCTGGACAAAGCTCCCACATGGATGCCAAGGCCCAGGCCTCGGGATTCCCTCACCACCTCGCACCAAGCCATCATAGGCCCATCTCTGCTGGTCAGTCAAAGATGGCATCGCCGTTCACACTGTCCCCACGCTGACCCAGGCCCCTCCAGCAGGTGTTCAGAGCAGTGCTGTTCATGGCGAGAAGTGGGCATGAGTCTTCCCAGGAACTTAAAAATTTCCAAGTGATATCTACATCTCTGATGGCATCAGTTTATCCATCTGAGTACAAAGTTATCGGTCAATGCCAGCATGCAATCCAGTCTGCTCCTTCGCTAATTATAGCCCTGCCCCAGGCAGCCAGCCATCCCGG